TAGCGGTTCAGGAAAAGGCATTCTATTACAATCAATGATATTTGACTGGTGGTATTATTAGCCAAACTGGGCAAGGGGTCTGCTAACTAATATAACCCTACAAATTGCCCTGAAAAAAAGAGGTGCCAACGAGAAGGTGAGCAGACGTGAGGGTGGGAAGACTGCGGAGATCCTACAGCTGACAGTTCTTTGACCTGACGAAAGGGTGTAGGGGTTAGGGATGTTGGAGTCTAAGAGTTTAGTGGATGGGGATAGGGTTTGGGGATTAAAGATACAAGACTTGGAGGGCTATTGAAGTTTAGGGATTTTCAGTAGATTTAGAGGTCTTGTTTCACCATGACTGCTAACATGTCCTTTGAACAAGGGGGTATTTGGGGTTCATGTGAGTTTGGGGAAGGGCAATGTTTATGTTGCAGGAACACAAAGCGTGTCAATGTAGAGGGATACGTCGAAGCTGCTCAGAAATTGCCATGCTGGTTTGTCGCTCCAGTGTTGCGCATTGGCCCCTGTAATGCCCTTTTGCTTCCCCTAGAGAAACCCTAAACCACCACATGGAGGAACCTGAAATCCAGCAAATTCCCACATTGGGGATAGACCAGGTGTCCTGAGAAGTTTCAGAGCAAAAGCAAGAATTTTTGCTAGCCGTATTTTGATACCGTGTAGAGTTGCAGCATACTACACTTCAAATCTACCTCAAACCCAGTGCACTCAGGCAAGGTCGAATGTTTTTTTCCGGATGTTCTAAGGACATGGACTCTGCCTTCATCTTGGGTCGTGGTGGCAAGACAAAGCACAAGATTGCACGAGTGTCTGGAGCAACGCTGGAGCTGCACGAGCACAACTGCACCTGTCAGACATGGATTCAAGCAAGCTTTGCGGGCTGCTGTCAAAGACGACTTGGGGTGACCAAATTCTTTATGGTAGAGGGTCTACAAAATCTCGCTAAGGCTTTCTTGTCTGGCGTTCTGAAGCTAAGTCTGGCATGCCCGTGGGCAAAAAGGGACAATAGCAATTGCAGGTTTGAGGTCTTTCCACGCAAATTAAAACATGGGGACCCCAATATAGGCTCCAAAATATTGACATCTTTTTTTTTATAAGGACCCAAGAAAGGTATCCATATTTTTTTTGGGAACCCTAACCCCTAAACTCTAAGGCCTATATAAGCCCTGCATACCCCAATATAAGCCCTATATAATCCATTATCCCTACTTCTAGGAGGGAACTGTTCTGCGATCAGCTCAGGCACTGTGGAGATCATCGGTGCAGAGCCCGAGCGTCGCAGAGCAAGGAAGTACATCAACCTGGTACCCAGGCAGAAGAAGGTTTTGGGGTTAGGGCTTAGGGAAGTGTGACCATGGCAATGCAAGTTTGGATGAGGCATTAGACTGAAAGGTGAAACAAAAGGACCGGAGCCATTGCCAATGATCCCCTTTGGTGTTAGTCCACATGTGCAGCAAGAAAGATCATCTGCAAAGCTTAAACCTTACATATTCCCTACATAGCCCCAGATTCCATGTGTTTTCCGTGTTCTTTTGCATTTGATTCTCCATTATTAAGGGAATATCCAAATATTCCTATACAATCCCTATATGATTCAGTTTCTATGTCACTTTCCATATGATTTTCCATTTGATATCTTCATTATTGCGGGAAGTAATATATTCATCCTTATGTAGTCTTAGGCAGCTAGAAGCACATGGAGCAGACATTGCTCTGCTTCTTCCTGAGGTAAGGGCCCAGCGTATTGGACCTGTTCACGTCACCCCCGAGCAGCACGATGACGGGGAGCGGCCTTTGCTGTGTTGCTGTTAAGGAACTTGGTTTAAGTTACTCTATTGGGGAAACCGTGGTAATATCTTTATATACCCATTATGGCAACTTAATTTAAGCCCCTTAACAGCAACCCAGTAGCTGTGTAGAGCTTTCCCAGTCCTGCTTCCCAATAGTTCGGTTCCATCCAGTCTGGTTTTCCAGCCGAGTAGACTGTCCAAACAGTATAGGGATTACACAATGATTCTAGAGGGAAGAAAATCGAAACTATTATTTTCCAAATTAGTTGACAGGCCCTTGCTTGTCTGGCTCCAGGACCTAACCATGATCCCCGTGCCTACGAGCTGCGTCGGCTTCGTCACTGGCTCACAGGGGAACTTCCTCAGGACACCCGCAACCCCGAAGGATCAGCTAAGAGCCCCAGGCTTTTCAGGAAAAGCTCCACAACATGACTTTTGAAACAGGCAGGTGTAGAGCTGTTCGGATGACATCTAACGTTACACACCAAAACTATCAACAGCTCTTCGCTTGCGGTGCACTAGGACATGTCAGGTGGTGCAGGTGCTGCGTCCTGGCATGCTCCAGTGGATAACAACACAGACCACAAGTGCACCCTGCATTGCATACTTGTCAGCTCTGGCAGGACGTGTGAGGAGGAGTGGGGCACACTCATGTTCTTCTGTGACTATCAAGGCCAGACTCCAGCAGATAAGGTACAAGTGGTCCAAGGCCGGTAGTCAGATGAAGAAGCACACAAAAAGACGTTCCAAACCACACTCAAAATACCTTCCCCCCCTCTCCCGTCCAGAATCATGAGCTTCAGAGCCAGGTCCCGGCGGAAACCCTGGAGACTCGGAAAACTTGGCCACGGCCTGAGACCTTTGCAGGAGGCATACCAAAAACTGCCCAGCGTTCTTGAATCTGTGGAGACTCTGCTTGGACGGGTGAGTGACATTCAATGCCCCGGGTAAAACGCCAAAAAGCCCCATGCCATACACAGTTCATCCTATGTACCTTTTCTTTGAGGCACTCTTCAGACGTCTCGCATGCTGAGTCAAGTGATAGCCAGGTGGCAAACCAATATCCCACTATAGTTACTATCTTAAACTGAGCTCCTGAGCAACACCCCCCACACTAACCCTAAACCCCAAACCCTAAAACCTAAACCCTTCAACCTAAAACCTAAACCCCTAAACCCTCAACCCGTAGACCCTAGACCCCAAGCCCCTAAACCCCTCAACCCTTAACCCCCAAAGCCCCAAGCCCCTAAACCCTATATAACCCCATTATAGTAGTTTCCATTTTAGTTTCCATTTTATTTTCCATTATCCCAAAGTAACCCCAATATATACCCCATAATCCTTATATAGACCCTATAGAATCCCTATATAATCCCTATATAAACCCTATAGAATCCCTATATAATCCCTATAAAAACCCTATAGAATCCCTATAAAAACCCTATAGAATCCCTATATAAACCCTATATAATCCCTATATAACCCCTATATAACCCCTATATAACCCCTATATAACCCCTATATAACCCCTATAAAAACCCCTATAGAAACCCCTTTTGAGGCCATCTTCGGAGCCCGAGCCGGGCGCACGGGCGCAGAGCTAAAGGTGGGAGTTTCCCAAAATTGGGGGTACCTACTAAAATGGAGAATCAAATGGAAAATGAAATGGAAACTGGGATTCTATAGGGGATTATAGGGATTAGGGTTTCCCAAAGTTTGGGGTACCCTTTTGGGGGTCCCCATAATAAGGACTATAGTATATTGGGGGTCTATATTGGGGTCCCCTGTTTAGGGAAATTACCAGGTGATGGCGGCGATCGAAGCCAAGCTGCCGCCGGGAGCTCAAGAGCTGAAATCGGGCTCCATTGGGGCACAAAATTGGGGTCAGGGTTTGGGGTTTAGGGTGATATTGGGATTATTTTGGGGGTTATATTAGGGTTTAGGGTTATATTGGGGTTATTTTGGGGTTATATTAGGGTTTAGGGTTATATTGGGGTTATTTTGGGGTTATATTAGGGTTTAGGGTTATGTTAGGGTTTGGGGTTTAGGGTTGGAGTATAATATGTTTAGGGTTTAGGGTTTAGTGGGGTTGTATTGGGGTCATGTCAGGGTTATATTGGGGTTTTGTTGGGGTTATGTTGGGATTATATTGGGGTTGTATTAGGGTTGTTTTGGGGTTGTATTAGGGTTACATTAGGGTTAGATTAGCAGGGTTATGTTCGGGTTATATTGGGGCTATATTGGGATAATGGAAATAAATTGGAAATTACTTTTAAGGGTTAAGGGTTTAGGGTTTACCAAAATTAGGGGTACCTTCTTGGGGTCCCTACTACAAGGACTAATTTGGGGGTCTACATTGGGGTCCCCCTATTTTGGGAAACTACCATGTAGGGATCTATAGGGACGTCTAGGGGCTCAACTATAATCCTATGGGGAGATACAGGGGTGATATAGGGATATGTAGGGGTTCTATAAGATTTTTCGGGTGTATACAGGATTATATTAATATAGGGGTTCTATAGGGATTAAATAGGGAATAGGGGGTATATTGGGATTATAGAATATGTGTGGATATATAGGGTTCTATAGGGTCCGATGGGGGAAAGCATGGATATTGAAATCGAGTCTGCTAGCTAGCTGTTTGGGGTTTAGGGATTAGGGTCAAGGGGCCCTTAAGCGGGCTCCAGGATAGATAGGGATACAATATGCATGGAGATCTCTTGGGGCATGTATAGGGATAGACAGGGACATGCAGGGATGTACAGGTTCAGGATTAGAGTTTCCATGCCAGCTAGCAGCTAGCAGAAAGGGAGGCATTGGATCCTATGGACTGGGTGGTCCTTTGATTGATTACTCACCAAGTTGTCATGGGAGTGCCCAGGAGTACGGCCTGCAAGTTTGGAATTACATTGTTACTTGCCCTCCCCAGTCTTGTAAGACTGTAGCTATATACAGAGGTTTTCAAAGAAAGCTAGGATGTGAATGGGCCTACTTCATTAATTGGGTTGCATGTCAGGGGCTCTGGCAATGTTAGCCGTCGCAAGCTTCTGCACGAGAGGGAGAGTTTGACATGAACTTCGCTGTTGATCCTCCCGGTGCAGAAGCACCCAGGTACTTCTATACTAAGAACATCACTGACACCTGCTGCAATGACTCTTGGCTGCAGCAGTGGGCTACACAGCTTTACAAGCATGCCTGCCGCTGGTTGGTAGCCTTACGATGTTGCCAAGGACGAGTGGGGGCGCGACACCATCCCTTTGGGGGATGAGGAGCTGTCCTTCGCCCTGGGCAAGGACTTGCATGCAAGCAACCTAATTGAAGAGGCTCTGTCACATTCGGCTCAGGGCGCGTCAATGCACAGGACGGTGCCACCCGCAAGAAGCTTGCAAGGGCCAGCGGTTGCATCCTTGAGCCTCTGAGCCGCAATTAGCGAGCAAAGCAGCATCAAGCAGCAGGCTGAACTCAACATACCCAATCTTCTACAAGGAGCGAGCTGTTGGCCAAGGTATGTGGGGCATGCAGCCTTTCTTGCCGGATCCCTCCCAGCACGGAGGCTCCCGAGAGACTCCCGCGTCGTTGTTTCACGGTTCTGCAAGACATTTTAGCCTTGCTTTGTAAAGACGTCTGCCTTGCCTTCTGAGACATGCAGGCGAGCAAGGGAGTACCTGGGATGGCTGCTCAAGCAGCGGACAGGCACAGTGTATGTGGACACCCACAACAGAGCCTACAGCCGCATGTAAGGGTCCTTTTCAAATGAAAGCCCGGACTTTGAGCACACGCTTTACCTTTCAGCTCTGCCGAGGAAATGATGTAACAATTGTGGACATTCCGCACGACCTGGAGGCCACCGCGGTTCACATCTGTCTAGCATCGTCCCTGAATTGCTGGTCTTTCCAGATATGGGACTTTCCTAAAATTAGGGGTACCTTTTTGGGGGTCCCCATAATAAGGATTATAGTATTTTGGGGTCTTTGTTGGGGTCCCCTTGTTTTGGGAAACTACCATATGAAAGCTGCGAAAGGCTGTGGCCAGCGTGTTCAAAAGCATGACGCTGCGAGGCATCGAGCAGGCAAGTAACTGTTCATGCGCAAAGATGATGAGTAATCCTTTTCAACAAGTTATAAACTCCCACCCCCCTTGAATGAAGCTTCCCCTTAATACGGGGATTTCCCCAAGATTAGGGGTACGCTTCGGCGGTCCCTATAATAAGGACTATAGTATTTTGGGGTCTATATTGGGGGTCCCCTTATTATGGGAAACTACCATATGAAAAAGTAGTTAATTTGACATTCGTTGTTTGGGTGTGGGAGGTTATTGTGAGTGCGGGGTCGAAGAACAGACTGCCTGCAGGAGACAAAGACCTTCTGCTTCCTCGAGGGCAACACAAGCAAGTCCGACAGGCCTTCCTCCATTCTTCAGACTTCCCTCTTGGACAATTTTTAGTATGATATAGTATATCATATATTATAGTATATTATAGTGTATTATCGTATTTTGATAGTATAGTATATAATATGATATTGGCCTTTTAGGGTTTAGGGTTCCGGGCCTGAAGAGTGTCCAATATGTACCGATACTATCTAGTTATACTCCTTTCTATAACTGTTTGACAATACTTCCCAAAGTTTTATTCTATTCGTTTAGGCCCCTGAAGTATGCTTCGAAAAGCTGCTCGATGCACGCAGACTTCCAGACCCCCTTGCAAGATCTGGAAACTAGATCCCCCTTTAAGGTTCCTAGTAATTACCTTTAGGCTTGCATAATAGGGTACCATCTAGCAGGTTCTACTTTCTAGGTTTTGCCCAGGGTCTGGATGCCTAAGCCCTAAACCCATAAACCTGAAACCCCTAAACCCTTAAACCCCTAAACCCTTACACCGCCTAAACCCTAAAACCCTATATAACCCCATTATAGTAGTTTCCATTTTCTTTTCGATTATCCCAATGTAAAGCTGAACCCCTACGTAAACCCTTAAACCCTAAACCTTAATCCCTAAAATAGTTTCCATGTTATTTTCCATTATCCCAATATAACCCTAATATATACCCCATAATCCTTATGCAACCCCTATATAATCCCTATATAAACCTGTAGAAAACACACCCTTCTTG